TCTGAGAAAAAACAGAACTCAATTATCTGCCATAGGTGAGGAATAAAGGTAGGAAATGTGGGCGATTTTTCGCTCTATAGGCCACATTGGCCGAAACTGCCAGGGGACCTAACTTTGCTAAAAAACCTAACAATGCCCAAGTGTTGGGTCTCTTCCGGCAGCTTAGGCCCCAAGGAGTTGGAAAAACACATAAAAGCCAAGTCAAAACGATTACAGCAAAAAATGGCCGTTGGCAGTTCAAAAATCAAAGAGACTGACTGCACAAAAAGTGCGCACAGGCAAATACATCTATATCTTCCCAACTTACAAAGCTAGGAAGCTGAATTTTGCTGGCCATATGCACATCGGCTATCTGGGCATCTGAGAAAAAACAGAACTCAATTATCTGCCATAGGTGAGGAATAAAGGTAGGAAATGTGGGCGATTTTTCGCTCTATAGGCCACATTGGCCGAAACTGCCAGGGGACCTAACTTTGCTAAAAAACCTAACAATGCCCAAGTGTTGGGTCTCTTCCGGCAGCTTAGGCCCCAAGGAGTTGGAAAAACACATAAAAGCCAAGTCAAAACGATTACAGCAAAAAATGGCCGTTGGCAGTTCAAAAATCAAAGAGACTGACTGCACAAAAAGTGCGCACAGGCAAATACATCTATATCTTAATTGTATACGAATGTAGTCCGTGCTATTTTTAGCATTGCTCTTTTAGCATTGCTCTTTTTCTTCTTCTTTTTTGAAGTTATTGAATGCCTATTGTTGACTATCTTTCTGTTTAGATTTGGAATTTGATGTTCAAAATTGCATTTTCTTTCGGAGTTTGTGAAATGTTGTGAGATTTACACGCGGAGGGATAATTGTATAGGTAATTGCCGGAGAACGGATCATTGAGATCATTGTGGTCTGTTTCACTAGAAACTACAAGAGTTGCAGACAAACCTGCGCAGCTCAGTTTCAGTCAGTTCCGGGTGGTTTTCACTATGGAACAAATATAGGGTCCTATCAGCCAACAAAATAAATGTTGATTAATCAATATTTCTACAAGTTTTACAAAAAAAAAAAATAAGCAGGTGAAAACATAAATAATGAAATACGAAAATATGGTCATAAGGACAGCTGTAGCTCTATCTTCTTAAGTCTGCATCTTTCTGTCTCGTTTGTGTACAGTTGTATTGTCGACGTGGTCTTTTATTTCGTCAATTGTCACAGAATCAAGATGATCAAAGCATTAATTCTAATTGGTGGTCCTTTGAAGGGTAAGTTTGATGAATATTTAGGTTGTCAACTGAGTGTTTTGACTACTGACACCTTGCACCTCACCCTAATTTTCAGTCATCATTGTAATAAACTTATAAGAGAGAATGCCCAGCCTAGCCCAGTAGAGATTAACTCATATTTTAAACATAAGTGATGAGATTTCAAATGTATTATGCTAAATGTATTAAGCTGTGAGCCAATCCCAATCAAGATACAGAAATTTTTTTTTATGTCTTAGATGTTTGCTCAGATATTCTACAAAATATTTAAAATTGGTAAATCAGCCATTTTGTTTATGTCAAAGTATACATTACACACAGACAGTGGTGTAACCTATTTTCATGGATGTAAGGATTCAACACCGAATTTTGTCAAAGTTAAAAAAATGAAAATTGTTTTTTATGTCTTAGATGTTTCCTAAGATATTCTACAAAATAATTAAAATTTGTTTATTTCGATTTTCTTTATGAATCCTTCACTTTGACCCATATTTCATGAGCAACCAACTCGGCAACGGCTGCAGAATGCGTCACCTATTTTCGTGTACAATGTTTGATCTATAGATAAGTCTAGAAAAACACGTTGTATGGATGCCAGGTGGTATAATTAACTTCTCTTAGTATTTATCTTTAATATCCATTCATTATAACTAGTGACAATTCCTTCAAAGAACCGTGATTTATAAAAAAAATAGTGACTGACAAAATAAGATACGTAGCATGATTTATTGCTAAAAGTCACTGAAACAACATAAGAATATGGTCCACTTTGTGTTCCATAGAAATTTTCTGCTGACACGGAATCCGCTAGTTGATCACATGACTTCATTCGTTGGACTACACTCTAGCAGACGACACTTGGAATTCCGATTACCGCTTGGGATTATAAGGAAATTCGGCCGATAAAAAATGGTGACGTTTGGTAATAACTGAAATCCGCCATTTTGTATTTGTCAAAGTATACATTAATACATTATACCTTGATTGAAATTACTGAATTCATTCTACTGGCTGATATTGTAGAGAAAACCCATGTTTATCAAAACAAACTAATGCGGAGGTCGCGCAAGGTCGCTCATGTAAATTATTAAACATTTCTGGAAATCCACGAATAATAGGTTTCCACAAAATTAGGTTACTTGACTGTAATACATTTTACCTTGCTTGAAACTAAATTGCCTAATGCATAAAGAGAGGTTTTTGGTTCCCGAACTGTAACAGTTTGGCAATTTGCCCAGTGGAAACACAAGAAGGCTAGATTAAAGCTGGTTTTTAACCTGTGGAAACACAGTTGAACACAGTTAATACTCCCTATAGTATCAACACTTTTTGAAAGACATGTTTACTCTTGTTTAAATGACTTTCTCATACAAAATAATTTACTATACTCCAATCATTCAAGTTTTCGGACCAATCCATCAGACTTCACTTACTAATATCACTGAAAACATTCATTAATCCTTACATAAGTCTTAACTTAGCTTTTGATTTAGTTAATATTCTCTCCTTCAAGAAAAATTAACACTTAATACCATTTTTCAGAATGAACTCTAAATGAATATAATATTTCTTTTTATTTATGTCAAAAATGTCCCCCATATCTTGATACTTTATTAATATATAAAAATGCACAATACTCATCAATTAACTTAATACCAAAATACCAAAACCTAAAAATCATCTCATTAAAAACAGTCTAAAATATAGAGGTCCTTCTCTATGTAACTCTACGGTGCAATTTTCCGTACTTTTATTAAATATTTCGTTTTAGCGAAATAATTAGATATTTTAAACGAACAATTATTTCGTTTATAAGAAATACATTTTTATTTCGTGTAAATGAAATACATTTTTTATTTCATGTAAACAAAGTAATTATTTCGTTTAAATGAAATAATTATTTCGTTTCAACGAAATATATGACATTATTTCGTTTAAACGTATTAGTTATTTCGGTTAAACCAATTATTTATTTAGTTATTTATTCAATCTTTTTAAATTCCCCTTCCACATGTCTATATCTTTAGTCAGCAAATAGCCTTCTAAAATTATGTCTATAATCCAAGTTGGGGGTAGGGGACACTTAGTCCTTATTATATAACTCTATGACAGTAGTTGAACCTATATTCGTGCATATAAAGATTCATTACCGATTACAGCTTGGGATTATAAGGAAAGTTGGTCAATAAAAAATTATGATATTTGGAAATAGTAACTATATTCAGCAATTTTTTTTTTTGCTTTAATAATACATTTGAAATTGCTTTGAAACGATAAGATAAATTCTGCAAGTCGACGTACAGATATTCTGCAGTTCGACGTTGTACAGATAACTTGCAAATTCGGAGGTTGCATAATTTTTTCTAACAAGTCGATTCTTTTATCTTGAATGATATATTTGCAATGTTGCTTACTGTTACTGGTATTCAGATTTAACTCTTCATTTTCAGGAACAAGATTTCGTCCCCTATCATTAGAAATACCTAAACCATTATTTCCTGTGGCTGGTTATCCTATGATATATCATCATATTGCTGCTTGTTCCAAGGTAAATTTTAAAAAGTAAAGATTTAAAACCTTGTATTTGTATTTCTATATATTTATTTTGTATTTATAAAAAAGTATAAAACGTAATGACATTTTCATTGGATAATGATATTGATGCAGCTGTCACCACTATTGGATTAAAAGGGTTAGTCACTGAAATGTCTGGCTAAAGTTTTATTTCTCTATGCTCAAAAGATATTCTTGATTACCAATCTTAAAAATAATAGAAGTAAAAAATGTCTATGAAACTTGTCAATGGTTTTATTTATAGGTAAAGGAAATCAAAGAAATTATTCTCATTGGATTTTATCAGCCAAATGATGCTTTAAATAAATTCATAACATCCTCACAGAAAGAATTTAGAATACAAATCAGGTAAATGTCGAGTAGGTACTTTTCTAGAAATGAAGAAATCGTTTGACCTGATACTATAGAAATTAAAAATTCGAATTTGGTGCTTCTGTCATCGAAACCCAAAGATATTAAATAATGTATAGTATGTTAATGAAAACACTATCTACATGTAAAGATTTAGATGGCTCACTATTTCTAATTCAGTGAAATCCTCCAAGATTATTACTTGGCTACAGTGGAAAAGCCAGTGGTGGGCATTTGCCATCCTAAAAATATAGTTGGCACCTTCATTTGTATCAAGACTTTATTTCTACGTTTATAAATATAAACATTTTTACTCCAAAATATGTGTGTCATAGTCACAAAATCAATTCAATTTTTTGAAAAGAACCCTCTCAAACCCTCAGAGGCCTGCGACTATACCGCCTCCACAGAGCCACATTTAGAATTTAGCCTCAACAGTTGTTTCTACGGCACTGCTTGGCTTCTATCTTGATCTTGAATTCTTGGTATGGATATAATTTGCATTGAATAAGAGTCAGGAAGTATTTTCATATACACATAATGAAACAACTCATGTGTCATTTATCTTGCAGATATTTACAGGAATATACAGCTCTAGGAACAGCGGGTGGTATTTATCATTTCCGAGATCAAATTCTCACAGGGAATCCTGAATATTTCTTTGTATTAAATTCTGATGTATGTGGTGATTTTCCCCTACAAGATATGTTAGATTTTCACAAGAGAAGACCAGATGGTTCCTATGGTACTGTATTAGCCACAGAGGTAAGTCCCACATTTTTTAATAGCTGTTTATTGTCTACACCAGAGTTATCATAAAAGACTCAGTGTAAATCTCAAGGATATATATACAGCAACCGCCATCATATAAATTTTGAGGATACACAATAACAAAATATTTCCACAATTAAAACAGTGCTCAATATACATCAATAGTGGAAGGATATAGAAATATTAAAATATAACATTACTTATGTGATTGTATGGTGTCTGCACCTTGTTCAGAGTTCTAATAACTTCCAATGTTAATGTTATGAGACTTCTATCTTGCAAGTAAAGTTACATAATGGTGAAGAGATAATCTTTCTAAATATTCATTGTTTAAGAATTAAATATTGTTTGTTTATTACAGGCAACAAGACAACAATCATTAACTTATGGCTGTATTGTAGAAGATCAAGATACTCATGAGGTGACTGTTTTATATTTTTTGGAGATGTGCAAGTTTCTGTTACCACCACTGTATTGCTTATTATTTGGTTAAATTTCCACCTAATCATAAAGGAAAAAAAATCTAAATGTGTCATAGATAAAATATTGCATTCTGAAAAGTGATGCTGAAATGTTAGCCCGGTAAGGAAATGATAAATGTAGTCAAACACAGATATTTTTGCTCATCCACGTACTGTCAAAACATATACACAACCGGTCCATTATATTTTCAAGGGTATTAAAGGTAAAGCTTTTAGAGGGTTTGACTAATCACTCAATGGAATAAGAACATTTGTCAATCTGAATATTCTGAAATATTCTAGGATTGGTACTGTCATTTCCTCTCTATCTGCCATTCTGTTAAATTATCCAAAAAGTTATAGCAATTATCTGTCCAAAAGAAAGAGAAAAATTCAATGTATAATGACGCTGTTGCTTCTAGAATTAGATATTTAAGAACAAAGAAGAAATGTTGTGCTGAAGGCAGAACAATAGTGTACAATGATATGACATTCATCTATTCCTTTCACAATTCCTAAATGTTGGATTTAACATTCCAACATCGAAAGAAGTAGGTCCTGTTGTTTACACAGGTTTGGATGAATATTTTTTGCCCAATTCCCTTTTGTTGTTCCAAAGTCATCTTCTGACCACTGCCTTAAAGAACTAAATATTACCATATTTTTGAAGAGCTACAAAGTAATATTACATATTATATTCTTTTCCATTTTCTCAAAATATTCTTATTCCATTGAGTGATTAGTCGAACCATCTAAACACTTTACCTTTAATTCCCTTGAAAATATAATGGACAGTTTTTGGTGTCGGTGAAGAAGAAGCCATATTGAATCTTCGTTGGTTTTTTTTTTACTTTATATAGGCAACTCAACAGATCTTCTAGGCTTATAAATGATGTTGGATTCTTAATGAATCATAAATATACACAATAGTTTGTTATAATATCAAAAAATTCACCATGAATTTTGGTGAATATGTGTAAGTTTGACTAAATTGTCAGCGACGACCTTTTCTAGTCTTGACATGAGGAGTTCAGTTATGTTTCTTCTGGGAGCTTGTGCCGTATCTCACATGACCTCTAAGTTATGTCATACAGTGTAGGAGAACTATAAATGCTTACCTTATCTATCTATGTTAATCCAATCCCAAATGCTCAGTTAATGATATCTTGGAATTCATCCTAATATTTATTTTGTAATAGTAAATCATTTGTAATTGTAGGTACTACATTATGTTGAGAAACCAGAAACGTTTGTTAGTACCTTGATCAACTGTGGTATTTACCTCTTTTCACCACAAATAATACAAACTCTAGAAGTAGCCTTTAAAAAGAATTTAGAAGAAAATTATAAGTGAGTCCCAGTGTTCATTCGTTGCCATCACATATCTTGAAAGAATTTGGTAAACATTGAGCTTGTTTTTTTACTTTTACTCCCATTAAATAGATCATTTCAGAGGAAAATAAATGTGATCTGCTTGTTGATTATTTGATTCAGGTAATATAACAATGCCTAGATAATGGTATGGTTCTTTTTTCATCTCATTGACTAATAAATGATTCCTCTGTAAATTCAGTACTCCGTGAAATCTCTGGCTGTTTTATTTTCTACTGTTTTCTAGTTTTACATTTTTACTGAATGCACCATTAAGATTCAGGTTAATACTGTATTAATTTTTATACGCCCACATGAAATGGGGGGCGTATATTGCCGTCACCTCATTCTGTCCGTCCGTCCACAATTGCTCGTAAACACCCTACAAGGCACAATTCTTGACTGATTTCGATGAAACTTAGTATGGTTGTTTGTAATCACCCAAGGATAAACCTTATCGAAAATCAGAAAAATTGAAAAATATTTAGTATGAGTTATTGCCCTTGTTCTTGAAACGCTCGTAGAAGGTGCAATTCATGACGGATTTTGATGAAACTTGGAATGAGTGTTCGTTATCGCTCAAGGATAAACCTATCGAAAATCAGAAAAATTGAAAACTATTTAGTATGAGTTATTGCCCTTGTTCTTGAAAACGCGTTCAATTTTAGCTTGTAAACTCTCTAGAAGGCATAATTCTTGATGGATTTTGACAAAACTTGGTGTGAGTGTTTGTAATCACCCAAGGATAAAGCCTATCGAAAATCAGAAAAATTGAAAAATATTTAGTATTAGTTATTGCCCTTGTTCTTGAAAACGCGTTCAATTTTTAGTTCTTAAACACTCTAGAAGGCACAATTCTTGACGGATTTTGACGAAACTTGGCATGACTTGGCATGTTGGTTATCACCCATGGATAAACCGTATTGAAAATCAGAAAAATCGAAAATTTATTTAGTATGAGTTATTGCCCTTGTTCTTGAAAGCGCTTTCAAATTTAGCTCTGAAACACTAAAAGGCATGATTCTTTCTGGATTTTGACAAAACTTGGTTTTATTATTCAGTCCTGAAGATTGAATATTTGCCTTCTAAAGTTATCACGAGCTAAAGATTGAACACGTTTTCAAGAACTAGGGCAATAACTCATACTCAATATTATTCAGTATTGTGCTAAAGAGTTCAAAAGAAGTGTAGACTTAAGGTTGAATATTTCATACTGGTGATTGTTACTGTACTGCTAAATATTTATGTTCAAAAGCTGCCAGTGGGCGTATATTACCTTGCCTGGCAAGCTATCTTTATTACATACATGTCGTCGGTGGGATATCAAAAGGTCGTATATCCGAATTTTCAAATTTTTCAGGAAATGCAAAAAACTCCCCAAAGACTCAAAATTAATTGAATTTTTACCAAAATTGTACCGAGTGCTCATCTTTTCAAACTTGACTTAATGAATTAAAAATCAAAAAGTATGTTAAGTCAGATCATGCGCGCGCCAGACATACGTCATTTTTGTTACAAAAGTCTGATATTTTGAGATATACATCCTTTTGCAGATACATTCTAAACAGCATTGTATCTCAACAAAATATTCATCAATTTGAATTTTTCGGTTGTCTAAGAACTTTTTGATTTAAAATAGTAAGTTTTTATTTTATTGTCGCTATAAATAGGATATACGTCTTTTTATTTCTTAAATATGTGCATGAAAGACGAGGTACGTCCTAACTTGTTCAAAGTAACTGGCACATTTCATGGTTCAAGGCCCAGATTGGTAAGTACAACAGGTACATGGTTCAAGTTTTAATATGCAGGAAGGAAAGCAAAACAGGTACATGGCTCAAGGTCGAGAAGGTAAGTATAATAGATACATGGTGCAAGACCTCGAAAGGTATACGGCTCTAGAGGCGTTTCATTAGCACAGTCTGTTTAATCTGACAAAATGACATAGATAAGAGCAAGTAGGATTATAATAATTCAATCAATTTATAATCATAAACGTTTCATTGCAGTGCGTTCTTCGTTCTTCGTTCTTTGCGTGTCTACTGTTTAAATGTAAACGGACGCATTTTCTTCCAACCGGAAATGACGTATGACGTTAACCATTCATTACGTATTTCGAATTACTGCTCTAATTCTGCATCTATTTTGACCGTAACTTTTGTTTTGTTCATTACTTTAAACCAATGACTAAAAGATAGCACTTTATAAAATTTCAGATTTAGACTTTTGTCGCTGACTTTTTTTGTTTTAATTTTAGCGTTTTTTTCAACTTCTACAATTTTATTTAAAAATTTAATAGTAGATAAGCATTTTGATTCCTGACAAAAATCTATTTTCAAAATTTCGATATCACTTCCGGTTTTGACGTCATTCGCCTCTGAACTTGAAATTTCAACTTCCGGAATTTTGTAGGTATTTGAAAAATTCTTTTTGAAATTAGTTAAAATTGTCCCTATAACAATTTTGGAATGAAAAAATTTGAACCGGAAGTAACGTGTTAGACGCCATCTTGATGTGACCAATTTTTGTAAAAATCGATATTAAGCTTCAGGGGTAAATCTGATTTGTGTGATTCTGGTGTCTAAAGAATCTGCAATCGATTGCTAACAAAACTTAGGAAGCCGATTTTTGAATTTTGGATTCGTATTTTTTTTATTTCCGGTTTTATGTTTTCAATAATTGTCAAAAATATTAAGGCTCATATCTAGTGACTTTGACCTTTGGTGACCTTGTGACCTGAACAAAAGTTGTTGCCCCTGACGAGATATATCCGATGATATCCTCACTTTTGTTGTGCATCGTTAACTTCCGGTTCTACAGCCATTGGAAAATCACGATTTTTAACTTTGAAGAGCTCTGTCACATGACCTAATTAACATACGACAAAAATTATTATATATTCTTTGAGTGCATAAAATCTCCTTTTTGGTGATATATCACACTTGATATTTTGATCAAAATTGCGCGTTTTAAAAATCGAAAATTTTGTACTGACTTCTATAGTAACTGTGCGTAAAATCACGGTGTCTATAATTTACCGACAGTCACCGTTGCCCTAAAAAAAAGTTCTCATGTTCTAATGATTGTAAAGACTTGAAATTTTGAACATTATTTAACATTGCACACATCATCACAGACAAATTAAAATTTTTGAAGTCGGCGTGGCACATCCGGTGTGCATTTACCTTTACCTGAAATATTTGCAATTGTTATAACTCTCATAGTTTTCAATTGTCACCCTAGAAATTTTGCATGAAAATAGATCACTGCTTAGAACAATTTGTGATAAGATTACAGTTGTTTGCATTCTTTACTTTAAAAAAGGGAATAGGTTTAACAATTTTATAAATTTTCATTTTTGATCTTTAACATGAATGACCTTGACCTTTGCATGGTCAAAGGTCATTGACTAAGGATGACCATTCTTACTTTGATCTTTGCTGTCCGATATATACTTCCGGTTTTGCAGACGTCCGAAAACAGCAATTTTCGAAACTTCAAAGGCTCATATTACTTTTATTTGACATTTGTTGAACTTTTGACCTGAACAAAAGTTGTTGCCCCTTATGAGATATATCCGATAATATCTTCACTTTTGTTGTGCATTGTTAACTTCCGGTTCTACAGCAATTTGAAAATCGCGATTTTTAACTTTGAAGAGCTCTGTCACGTGACCTAATTAACATATAACAAAATTTCTTATATATTCTTAGAGTGCATATATATCACACTTGATATTTTGATCAAAATTGCGCGTTTTAAAAATTGAAAATTTTGTACTGACTTCTATAGTAACTGTGCGTAAAATCACGGTGTCTATAATTTACTGACAGTCACCGTTGCCCTAAAAAAAGTTTAACTACGAATATCTCGTGATCTAATGATTGTAAAGACTTGAAATTTTGAACATTATTTAACAATGTAGACATCATCACAGACAAATTAAAATTTTTGAAGTGGGCGTGGCACATCCGGTGGGCATTTACCTTTACCTGAAATATTTGCAATTGTCATAACTCGCAAAGTTTGCAATTGTCATCCTAGAAATTTTGCATGAAAGTAGATCACTGCTGAGGACAATTTGTGATAAGATTACAGTTGTTTGCGTTTTTCACTTTAAAAAAGGGAACAGGTTTAACAATTTTAAAAATTTTTATTTTTGAACTTTAACGTAAATGACCTTGACCTTTGCATGGTCAAATTTTCGAAACTTCAAAGGCTCATATTACTTTTATTTAACCTTTGTTGACCTTTTGACCTGAACAAAGGTAGTTGCCCATTACGAGATATATCCGATAATATTTTCACTTTTGTCGTGCTCCGTTAACTTCCGGTTCTACAGCCAATTGAAAATCGCGATTTTTAACTTAAAAAAAAGGTCTATCACGTGACCTAATTTACATAAGCGAAAATTTATCTTTTGTCCTTATTACACGCAATCTATTCTTTCAAATGATATATAACACTTGGTATTTTAATTAAAATTGCGCTTTTTAGAATTTGAAAATTTTGTATTGACTTCTATAGTAACTTTGCGTAATTTTAACGGTTTCTATAATCCAGCGACAGTCACCGTTGCCTTAAAAAAACTTTTAATTACAAATATCTCATGATCTAATGATTGTAAACACTTGAAATTTTGAACATTATTTGACATTGTACACATTATTACAGACAACACAAAATTTTTGCAGTGGGCGTGGCAAATCCGGGTTACTTTTATCTTTACCATAAATAATTCAAATTGTTATAACTCTAAAAGTTTGCATTTTTCACCATCGAAATTTTACAAAAAATTAAAGCACTATTTGGGACAATAATTGATAGAGTTACATTTTGTTTAGGCCTTTTACTTTAAAAAAGGGAATAGGATTTACAATTGATAAAATTGTGATATTTTGACCATTTACATGCATAATCTTGGTCAAAGGTTATTGATCTACGATGTCCATTCATACTTTTATCTTT